ATTTTGAGACAGGGTCTCACTAAGTTGCTGAGGCTGGCTCTGTGATCTTCCTGCCTCAGTATTCTGAGCTCAGTCAGGATTACAGGCAGGTACCACTCCGCCTAGCAGCTACTGGATATTTAAACATATATTTATCAATGCCATTTCATATTATTTTTTATATTATTTTTACATCTGATATTCATATTAAATGATGAGAAGATTCCACCAATTCTGCTCTTCTAGTCCTTTCATGGAGTTCATGAACCAGTCCTGGGGTCAGATATTATGGAATGGATATTTAAGCAACCATCTGAAATTAAGTACTCCTGAGCTGAAGAAATTATATAAAGATATCCTTAGATGGGACTTAAATAAGACAGTGTGCTTGACTGAACTCTTACAAAGTTGACACTAAGGGTGAGGACAGGTCCAAAATAAGGGATATAGTCCTTGCCAATTGGAAGTACACAGTTTAATTGGGGAGATAGTAAACGTACATATCTATAAAGGAAGGAAAAAACTCTAGAAGGTGGTAAGTACCATAAGAGTGGTTCACATCATTCAGGGACCTTAATATGGCATGCAAGGAAACAGAAATAGAAGCAACTGTAAGGTCAGCTTTTAAAGCAAGATTTCATCATGACAGCTTAGCAGAGAAATAAACTAAAGGTTCACATGTTATGGGTCAAAGGATGGACTGATTATGTCTTTTTTAACCACTGCTATACTTGTGTTGGTAATCCTTTTTTTAAAAAAATATTTATTTTTTAGTTTTTTTAGGTGGACACAATATCTTTATTTTATTTTTATGTGGTGCTGAGAATCGAACCCAGTGCCTCACGCATGCTAGGCGAGTGCACTACCACTTGAGCCACAACCCCAGCCCCTGTTGATAACCATTTACTCCACAGTAGATTCAGTTATGAAGGACAGCAAGATAAATATAAATTTAATTCAATTATAAATATAAATATAAATTCAATTCAGAATCTGGGCCAAAGCCTGATATCAAACCTTTAAAACAAAGTATTGTCTGGAGTTGAAAGAAAGGTCTCCTGAGCAGGAGGTAGGATAAAGATGAGAAAGACTTGGGGAAGGTTTATATTTCTGGAGGAGATGGTAGCCACTCTGAAGTCTGACTACTACAAATTGTCAGTGTTTTTTTTTTTTTTTTATAGTTGAGCACAATATCTTTATTATTTATTTTTATGTGGTGCTGAGGATCGAACCCAGGGCCTCGCAAATGCTAGGCGAGCGCTCTACCGCTGAGCCATAACCCCAGCCCCAAATTGTCAGTGTTGATCTGATTAGCTGGGCAGGTGTCCCCTCCTGCCTCAGGGATCCTCAGGAGTCTGTCTACCTGGGTGGGTTGAGGCAAGAAGGGCAGGAATGATGATGGTTAGTGGGTCATTTAGTTGAGATTGAGTCCTAAAGTTGAGCCAGGCCCTCTCTCTTGGGTGTTAAGCCCTGTGGGTCAGGGGCAGGGCTCATCTGGGGAACCTACCAGAAGTGCCACGCCTGGCTCATTAGTGGATGTCTGGGAAAACCTTTGAAGATGAAACACTCCATAGGCACTTGATTCTATTTTTTTTGGACAAACTAGTACTTTGGTCTCCAGGGGCTGTTGATCTGACTTTTTTGCATTAGTCTGGAATTTACTGCAGATTGAATAAGAAAAACAAAACAAAAAGCGTGAAGAAGTTTCTTAAAAAAAAAAAAAAAAAAACAACTCTCATCAAACTTCCCATGTTATAGCTTGTTAAATAGAATTCTTCCCCATCCATCTTTCACATTCTTGAATTTGGGTGTACTCTGTCTTGACCTGTTTCTTCACCTTTTGGGTTTGGGATGTGTGTGTCTCTCTCTGGTTCCCAGACCATAAGAGATTGCCAGTAGCTGGCATATGGTGATTGCTGAATAAGCTGCCCTCTGACGCATGCCTCCTGCAGGCACAGACAACTGACTAACATGGGTGGTTCTGAACCCCCATTTAATGTCTCAAAGATGCATTTATATGGCTATCCTGTGCCATAGAGAAGGCAGTGAAGAAGAGAGATGAATGAATGAATCTGATAATTTCTGTTAGAAGCAATGGACAAGATGGGCAGGTAGGCATTTTGTATCTTCATAGTGGTTCTTACTACTCTTTATCCTTTCATCAGGTATTTATTAAGTGCTTACTATATACCAGACATAAAAATCCAATCTGAGTGAGCTGTCAGTGAGGTCAGTAGAGACCCTAGGAGTTAGTTCTGTTATTCAGTTATTATGTGCTTTGTACTATTCTAGGTACTAGGGACATAGAACACATAAGGATCTGACAATATAGTAGGAGGAGTGAAATAATTCAGCAAGAAACCATTATATAATGTGTCACATGGTGATAAATGTTATAACGATAAGTAAAGTATGATAAGTGAGGTAGGAAATGGTGTTTACGTTGAACCTGTTGAGGCCTCTTTCATGGGTGACATTGGAACAGACACTTGAAGAAAAAAAGGGAGTGATCCATGAAGGTTACATGGTAGGGGAGCATTTCAGGCAGAGGGAATAGCAAAAACATAAGCTCTGAGTCAGGAAATTGCTTGGGGAATTGGAGTGGAGCAAGCAAAGGAGAAAGTGGTAAGAGAGATGATGAGGGCTGGGGCTGGGGCTCAGGTGGAGCGCTCACCTGGCACTTGCAAGGCCCTGGGTTCGATCCTCAGTACCACATAAAAATAAATAAATAAAATAAAGGTATTGTGTCCAACTACAACTAAAAACTAAATATTAAAAAAGGAGAGGTGTGATAAATCTTGGCCTGAGTGTAGATCTTGCAGGACCTTGTAAACCATGGCATGGACTTTGGGTTTTATTGAAGACAGATATGAAGCCAAGAGAGGTTTTTGTTTTGTGTGTGGGGGTGATGCTGGGACTCAGATCCAGATCTTTATTGATATTAGACAAGCATAAGAGAGGGTTTTGAGCAGGGGAATCACATGATTTTGCTTTTAATTCCTTTGTGCTATCCTAGGGATTGAACCCAAGGCCTTATGCATGTTAGGCAAATGTTTTACCGCTCAGCCACATCCCCAGCCTGATTTTGGTTTTTTAGAGCTGGGATTGTGGCTTAGTGGTAGAAGGAGCATTTGTGTAGCATGTGCAAGGCCCTGGGTTCAATCTCTAGTAAGGCAGAAAAAAAATCACTGGCTGCTCTGTGGATGGGCTGTAATACAGTGAACCTAGATCTGCCTGACTAAGGAGAGGATAGCCTCGCTCCCCTCTACGTCCCATTTTCAAGTATGCTATTATATGGATAGGGCATATCTTGAGCAGAACGTAGTTTGGAGTGTAAAGAATTAGCCTCTTAGGAGTGCTGCTTTCTTTTTTTTTAAAAAAATATTTTTATTTTTTAGTTGTAGTTGGACACAATACCCTTATTTATTTTTATATGGTGCTGAGGATGGAACCCAGGGCCTCACATGCGCTAGGAGAGCGCTCTACCGCTGAGTCACATCCCCAGCCCAGGAGTGCTTTCTTATTTCTTCTTCATTTACACTGATGTAGAAGGAAGATGAAATTGCAAAAATATATATGGAAGAAGCAGAATCTCTTGATGAGTACTGAGAGCAAAACCTTGAGAACCTGACAAGCCTGAACCTTGTCAGGAGTCACAGAGAGCCACTCCTCATTCCACTCCCTCCTCTCCCACTCTTTCTAGAAGTCTCAGTAAGGTTGGGTGAGGGAGGGGTATAAATGATCTTGCAATGCCTTGGGGTGTAGTATAGAATGTCAGAACTGAAAGAACTTTTAGAAATCACCTAGTTGAACCCCCTCAGCTTACAGGTGCAGATTTGGAAAGATGAAATAATTTTCCCAGAGTCACACAGTACATTACTGGCAGGGGTATGGATCCTGCATGTTCCCAGCTTTGTCTCTGCTCCCAAAGGTTCAGGATGTATCTGAGTAGTTCTTGATATTCATAATACCCTCAGGCTCTCAGTTGTCATAAATGAACTCCCACTATGACTTTGGCAAATTCCATTTACATGAAGCCTTGACAAATGAGTGATGGTAATGAGTTTGCATTTTCTTTTTTTTTTTAAATATTTATTTCTTAGTTTTTTGGTGGACACAACATCTTTGTTTGTACGTGGTGCTGAGGATCGAACCCGGGCCGCACGCATGCCAGGCAAGCGAGCTACCGCTTGAGCCACATCCCCAGCCCCTGCATTTTCTTTATCTAGGATCAAGTCTTCCATACCAGGGACCAGACTGCCACTGCCCTGACTTGGGCCCCACTGTCTTCAGAAAGCAGCTGCTGTGATCATGGGCAATATCTTTGGAAACCTTCTGAAGAGCCTGATTGGGAAGAAGGAGATGCGCATCCTGATGGTGGGCCTGGATGCTGCAGGGAAGACTACTATACTGTACAAGCTAAAACTGGGGGAGATTGTCACCACCATTCCTACCATTGGTAAGGGCACAACTAGTATGTGGGCTTTTATGCCAATAGTTGAGCCAGGGCCTATTCCTAGATCCCCTACCTGGCTTCTCCCCAGGCAAGTCCATACAATTTGTGAGCCTCAGAAAAGGATGACTATTTAACTTACTAGCAGGTGCTGGTACTGCCGTTTGCCCACCTATCCTGGCCCTCCCTGATGCGGGAACTTCCACAACCTGGCACTCAGCAATTGCCCTCAGGCCCTAGAGTTGGTTTGTTCTTTGTGTTGTTTGGAAAGCAGGTGAAGAGCTTTGATGTTCCTGCCAGAGGCCTGGAATTGCTTTGGTTTAGATCTTAGGTGGCTGTTCCCTGGTTAAGACCTGTCTATGGGAGGGAGAACATTTGCCACATAGATCAGGGCTTCAGATCATCATGGTCAGTTGTTTCTGCACTGGGGCTCCGGTACTAAAGCTGATTTTTTACTATACACTCTGTCTCTCAGCTTCACATCTTAGATGAGGCAGACACTGAGGGCCAGGGTACAGGAATGGGGCTGAGTCATTTCTTTGCAGGAGAGAGGGGCAGAGTCTGAAGGAGTGATTGGAGAAGCTTGATTTACATTACCCAGGCAGCTATGAACCTCCTGACTAGAACTCCTCGTTCTCTTTGACTCTTCCCCTTAAATTTTCTTTTTGGCCGTCAGACTATCAGGTCTGAGGAAACATTAGCTTTTTATTGTTGGTGTCATGAGGAAGGCTGAGGGGAAACAGGACCAAACTCATTGGGACATTGTTTGCAGGCTTGATATTTGAGGACAAGTAACCATTGCATGTATTTTCCCAAAGGGTTCAATGTGGAAACAGTAGAGTATAAGAACATCAGCTTCACAGTGTGGGATGTAGGTGGCCAGGACAAGATTCGGCCTCTCTGGAGACACTACTTCCAGAACACTCAAGGTATGACAGATAAACTGCTCAGGACTGGAATGGGTTGGTTGGGTATGAACAAAGTGTGGCTGTTTTCTTTAGTTAAGCGACACCAATCCTTGTTCTGCTGCATCTCCTGTGGGTAGAGAAAAAAAGAAAAGGAGCAGATATTCGAAGGGGGTGAAAAGGGTGTTGGTCTGGGGGGGGGGCGATGCGGCATCTGTCATATCTGTGCAGCCCATGCTGTGTCTCCCTAGGCTTGATATTCGTGGTTGACAGTAATGATCGGGAGCGAGTGAATGAGGCCCGGGAAGAGTTGATGAGGATGCTGGCAGAGGATGAACTCCGAGATGCTGTGCTCCTTGTCTTTGCGAATAAACAGGTAAGACTTCTCCCCATGCCTGAATTTGGGAGAGGGCAACCAGTCTGTGGAAATCATGGGGTCTTGGGCTTATTGTCACAGGCTTATAGTCCTGTGACTACACCCTCAATTTTGGAAATGTGGAAAATATAAGCAGTCAGCTTGCTTATGCCTCTCATTTTCCCTACCAAGGTTTATTTAGCAACATTTTAGTCCTCAGGGATCAGTGTGGTAGAAACATCATCTCAAATCTTTCATTTCTCTATTGTGAACTTTAGTGGAACTGCTCTTACTCCTGCTGTCAGGCAGACTTAATTCTTCACCTTGTCTGAATCACTTCTGCTTCTTTACCAACCCTGTGTTTGGTTTTCAACTCCTCTATGGAATAACTAACTGATGCCTTGGATCTGGGGGTCTAGGATGACTGAGTCCAAAGTATGGTTTCCTAAAATGAAGGAGGAGGAAAAGGTAGGTGGTGCTTTAGAAGCCTTTGAAAGATCCTGAGCCTCCTTTATGTGTTTATCTCTTGCACTCCAGGATCTACCGAATGCTATGAATGCTGCTGAGATCACAGACAAGCTGGGCCTACATTCCCTGCGCCATCGCAACTGGTACATTCAGGCTACCTGTGCTACCAGCGGGGACGGGCTGTATGAAGGCCTGGACTGGCTGGCCAATCAGCTCAAAAACAAGAAGTGAGAGCCAGGCAGCCCTATCCGACTACCCTACCCGTCCCTTACATACCTATTGTTTCCCTATCCCAGCCCTACCCCTTCCCCTCCATTGCAAGTGTGGCTAGGGCCCTGGGTATCATGTCCGCATGCCCAGCAAGAGCCTTGCCTCCCCGACTCTCCTCCTCTCCCTGTCCACTGACATGACCGGTCCCCAATTACTGTCCTGATGATGAATCATTCCAATTTACTGGATTTAAAACAAAAACGAGGTTGTTATGGTTTCATGGGGTACCCCCTTCACTCTCTGGGTTTTGGGAGGTGGGATGGGGTATTCTCTCCGTTTGTTCATTTGGCACTGGTTGCTGTGCTTTTGGCATCTGAGTCCCTTTCCTGTCCCCTTTAGAACCCTCTCCTTTTCCTTGTCTTCCTTTTCTTTGACACCCTCTCCCTGTTCTACATGGAAATTGCACGGGCCTCTCTGTGTGTGCGTGCATGTGTGCGCCTGTATATACATGTATAGAGAGATATATATCTGGGGTCCACAGGGAAAGAGGGAGGGGTGGAATGCAGCTCAGGGCCTACAGCCAGGACACTGCCCAGTGGAGCCTGTCATTTGTCCCTTCCTTGTGCTGAGATAAAGGGAAGAGGGTTTCATTTAGACAGGACTGCCTGTCTTGGACTCATCCCTCTCCTCTCTGCAGGTAGGTGTTCCTGGATGATAGGATAGATCATGGATTTTTTACCACCATCTTCCTTATACCCCTTTCTCCACCCTTCTTAGGGCAGGGGGTGGCATTTATCCCTAGGTGACTGTTCCCAAGGAGATGCCATTCTGCTCTGCCTTATTAATGAGAAGCAAAGAGAAACCTACTCATTGTTAGCCCAGAGTGTTTAACTGATCCTCCCCCACTATCCTTAGATCTGTTCTTCAGGAGCTTGAGGGGGAGGTAGAGATAGCAAGGCTGGTGTGTTTGGGACCCAGGGTACACAGGGGTGGGGTGCATTGTGGTGGGGAAGGCTTCAGGGTTTCTACATTCCTTGTTTGTTATTAAGAGGTGAGGCATGGGTCAGTCCTATTCCTGCCTTCCTGTGCCTCGCCCTCTGATCCTGGGGGCTGGATAGTTTCATTTGTCCTTTGTCAGAAGTTTTCTCACCCTAATAGTCCTGCTGGCCTGATCAGGACTGACTAGGTAGTCTAATGAGAAGCTGTGGAGTTGGGTTGACATAGCAGACCTCAATATCAATCCCCTTATTCTCTAATTCTCTTTTTCTAGTACAGAACGAGCTGAGAGCTGAAGATTTTGTATTGTTTCCAGGCCCTCAAACTATCCTTGCTGTTCCCTTCCCCTTCATTCCAACAGCCTTCCCCTGTCCTCAACTCACTTACCATAAATGGATCTGGGGATTGGATTGGAGGAAACTGGACCCTGAATGGTGGTGATTGGTGCTGGTAGGAGACAGTGGTCTTCAGGGTCCATCCCTCATTATTATGTAGTTGTTCAGAAGCTGCTGCTACTGTGTCTGTCTAAGGGGGCACTTGTCCCTAAAGTCCAGACTTCTGCAGATTATGTGAAGCTGTCGCTGTTTTGTGGGCTCCTGTGTGTGCTGGCTGCTCCCTGAGCTCTAAGACGGCTGCCTATAACCTTTCTGCTAAGGTCAGGGCTCAGGCCTGAGCCCTGGGGCTAAGGGACCACTTTCCAGAAGGCCTGTCCCAAGCCCCACTCCATGGGGCCAGATTTCCTGCCATCTTTGTCTACAGCAAGCAGATCAATACTCCTGACCCCACCCAGATTTGAACTGTGAAAGAGGTTTAGGGGTGTCTCCCTCAGTGCCAGTTACTTAGTGGTGTTACCCAAAATGCAGTGGGTGTGTGCAGGTATCTTGCTCTCTAGGCCTTTGTGTGTGGTTGTGTGTGTGTGTGTGTGTATGTATGTATGTGTATGTGTTTTTGGTGTGTGTGTGTGGGGGGGTGTTGGAGGTTTTGTTTCATTTTTTTTCCATTTTAAAATGCATTCACTCTTTGACTCTGTAGATTATTTCCTCCATATATTTTCTTTGCTCTGTTTCCTGATTTTTTTTGTGCTGTCCCTGTTGCCTTTCCCTCTCTGAACTTTTTCCTTTGCCTTCTCAGTTTATTCACCGCTGTTGCCTGCTTGTCTTTCTTTTCCTTGTTTTTTTTCCCCCTATTTCTGATTCCCCACTGTGTATCTTTGCAGTTGGAGAGGACTTTGCCTCTTTTCCTGCCTCACTCCTTTTTTGACCTTCCCTAGTTAGATGCCAGTTCCAAATATGTTTTCCTTATTTTAGGCTTCAACCCCATCTTGTGTTTGAGAGGTCCGGAGACCAATATGGAACTGAGGATGTTAGGAAGCAGCCTTGGAGATTGCATTCATGCTGCTTCAGATCTTTCCAGCAGGGGGCAGTAAGTGATCTAGTAGCATCCCTGACTGCCAGGTCCTTGAGCAGTGGTGGGCCTTTCTACATTCCCATTCACCTAATAGCATTTTTTAGGATTGGGTATTTCATTTCATTTCTGGACACTCCCTTTCCTGGTCTCCTCAGGTGGATTTAATTTTGTGCTTTCCCATGTTCTAGTTTTCTTCTTTCTGGGGACTCCCCTCCTCCCCGTACTCCAAAGTTTGTTTGTGGTGTTATAGTGGTAAATGCAGTTTTGATCTGGTTTTTCTCTTTTTTCCTCCTTTGGAATGTAGACTGTATATGTTTAATAACTCACCTTCTCTATCCTTGCTCAAAATGTGGGATAACACAATGACTGTGACCTTGGTTGGAAATTAAACTTGTTTTATGCAGCTTTGGAGCAGACCTTCATCCTTGATGTGAAGCAGCTGTGGGGCATTGGGTTAATGGTGAAGGTAGTTCTTTTTGTGGTCCCTCTCTCCAGAACACTTCTTCTCTCGGCAGAGGGGAGAATGGATACACTTGCTGAGAGGAGAGTGAGGTTATGGAAGAACTTAGTTCCATCTCTACACTACTTATTTCTTCCCCCATCATATCCCATAGTAGGGGGTCCAAATGAATCTGATGCTGGAATGTGAAAGCTCTGTGACTTTGCTCCGCTAGATATGAAGGGTGTAACTCTGAAATTAGCCATATTTATCACCTGTGGGTATCCTTTGTGCATTCCAATGACTGGAGGGCCCTGAACTTGGAGGATGCTGTATTTCTTCCAATCTCAGATCTCCCTAGGCCTGCACATCAGGTGCTTCCATTTGGACATGGACTCCCTCAATCATATATTGGAGTCCCCCTACCTGTCTAGGTCTGGATTTTGGTAGCAAATATGCATTAGGGGTACAAATCTGAACTTGATTCTTAGAGTGGATGGCCCTACATCAACTCTACTTCCAGCTTGTGGTTCCCTACTGTCAGGATGCCAAGCCTCATTCAGAGATTGTTAGATGTCTTGGAGAATCAAACTATTCTATAAAGCTTATTTTTTCCCATCCCACTCTCACCACTGCTCTGTTTCTCTTTTGATATTGTTGTCTGGCTCCAGGCAAAGAAAAAGGGATGGTGCTATGCTTGGGCTAGTTAAGCCATCCAGGCCTCCCCCATTCTCAATACTTTCTTATGCTTTGAGGACAGAAGTCTTCCCAGGTTGCTGTGTAATGGACAGGATTTCGGACTATAATAAGCTTGAAAGCCCAAGTTCCAGTATGAAGTATATAATTTGTATTCAATTACCTTTCAGTTGCCTTCCCTGCCATTTTTCCTTTTCAGCTCTCTCCTGTTAATCAGCTATCACTCTCAAGGACCAAGTGCTTCTGCCTACTTGTAACCCTCAAAACTGCTAGATATCACTGTACCAACTCTGTAGCTTGAGGCATTACCCATTTACCCTCAAAATTAGATGACATCATTCTCCAGTACTACCACCCCCCCCACACACACACACAAATACACAAATCAGATGACACTTTCCTCCTAGGCTCCTCCAAGGTCTTCTGCTTGGTGACAGACTGCTAATAAGAGCATTTTTCCCAAGTGCTTTATTTGTGTGTTAATAAATAGATAACTTCCAGAGCTATAACTCCTCATCAGACAATGATAATGGAGCACACTTGAGCTGAACGGACTTGAAGAGATTGTCCTATTCCTTTTTGTCCCAAATACTCAAGACTCCAGGAAGAAGTAGAAGACAGCCCTCTTGTGGTAGTTATTTAAACCATCCAGTTTGTGGGGAACATGGATTGAGGAAACAACCTGGGGGACAAAGCTATACTCTTTGTTCCAGAGTATAGGGGCAGTGGGATTGGGGATGTAACTCAGTTGTAGTGTGCTTGCCAAGCATATATGAGGCACTGGGCTCAATTCCCAGCACTGCAAGAAACAAAACAATATGAGGTACAATAAGGTCTGAAGGCTCTGGGGATTCATTGCACTCAGCATTGCCAATTCAAATTTCTGGATTGGTTAAAAGAGAAAGCTGACACGTTTTATATATTTTTTGTTATCCCCAGGTATCCCAGTACTGGAGATTGAATCCAGGAGTATTCCACCACTGAATTACACTCCCAGCCCTTTTTATTTTTAATTTTGAGACAGGGTTGTGCTAAGTTGCCAAGGCTGCCCTTGAACTTGTGATCCTCCTGCCTCAGCCTTCTGAGTTGCTGGGATTGTAGGCATATGCCACTGTGCCTGATGGCAAGTACTTTCATGTTTTCAGGTCTGTGTTAAAAATGGGTCAGACCTCTATACTCATAGAGGGATTTGGGAATCCATTTTGGGGATGCTCTGGAATCCTTTGGGATTTATATAATGTACCATTTGGAGAATAACTGTGTAGCGGATACCTTGTCTTTTGCTGCTGCACAGAGTTGGGAGTAGTGTACTTGGTTAGGCTGTAATAATGCTAAGCAGCTTCTTTCCAGTTTTCTCACTTTCTAACTCAGTAATTGAAGAGGTGGAGTATCATGGTGGTCCCTGGGGAGTGACAGGATCCAGATGCCTTCATTCCTTAATTAGAAAGGTTTTTTCTAATTGGGTTTCCTGACCCTGGTTATTGGTATGGGTAAGAATAACCCTGAATTGCTGAGAAAGGTGAAGCATGTTAGGACAGAGGAAATGGAAGCTTTGAGTATGGTAAAGGAAGCAAAACCACTGAAGGCAGTGTGGTTCCTCACTGGAAGTGAGGAAATTGGGTCAGGTGTGAAAGTGTCTGCTCGTGTGTGTCACTTTGGCCATGAACCACAGGAGAGTATTTGGGCCCTACTTGTGGGTCCAATGTGGCTTCTGAGCTAGACATAGCAGGGTAGAGACACTCAAGGCAGAACTGGCTTTCCATGCACAGAGCTGACCAGTTCTACCTATGTGCAAACCATTGAGAGTTTTCTGGCACCTCTGAAGGTGGGAGCTTTTCTAGGAGTGGTTCTCTGATTTATGTAATACTTCTAGTCAGGGTTGAGTGAGCTCCCCTCCCTTTTCCAGAACCCCATCTCATCTTTCAGGTTCTTCTAACTTAACCCAGGGAAAAAGCTCCTTCCTTGGTCCCTTCTGGGTCGAGGTGGGCTTGTGCTACCTTCTGTAGGTAGATATTGTTGTCTATTTTAGTTTTGTTCTTTTCTTTTTCACTGTTACCCTCTTTTTCTTGTATCCACTCTTCCTTCACATTCAGGTTCTCAAACAGAGCCTGAACAAGACAATAGCCTCCCACTTTCCTGACACCATTYTAGGAATGTAGCAGGAACTTTCAAAGTGTTTCCACTGCCTTAGACTGGCATTCAGGGTTCTTCACAACCAGCCCTTAATTCCCTCTCCACCTACCTCTCTCTGCTTCTCTGCCCAGTCTCTTATTTTCGCCAAGTTGATTGATTAATTTCACCCCAAAATCTTGTCTTCTCTGCCTTTGCCTTCTTTATTGTTTGATTAAAAAAATCCCTTGTCAAGATTTAGCTTGTTTCACCTCCTCCACAAAGCTACCCATGGCCTCTCTAAACACAGGCCTTTTTTCCTTTTTTCTTCCACCCTGGTTCCTTTAGCTCTATTAGCATAGTTCAGTCAACACCTTCCACACTTCCCTTGTATTGTTATCTATCTTGTTGATTAATTTAATATTTAATTAATTTTTTACAATAAAAGTGATTTATATTATAAAAGATCCAAATAATAGTGCTGGGTGGGATAAAGCCTGTAATCCCAACTACATTGGAGCCTGAGGCAGGAGGTTCACAAATTTGAGACCAACTAGGCAATTTAGCAAGATCCTGTCTCAAAACAAAAAGTGTTGGGGATATGACTCAGGGGTAGAGTGCTTGTCTAACATTCATGTTGCCCTAGGTTCAATTCCCAGTACTTCCAAACAAACAAAACATAAATATATAGAGTAATGTGGAATTTGATGTCTATTCTTCCCATTTCTATCTTCTAACCACCCTCAGTTATGCTCCTAGCACCTTTAAAAAATATTTTTTTAGATGTTGATGGACTTTTATTTTATTCATTTATTTATATGCAGTGCTGAGAATCAAACCCAGTGCCTCACACATGCTAGGCAAGTGCTCTACCACTGAGCCTCAACCCTGATCCCCCTCTCATTACCTTTTAAAAATATATATATCAACACATTTTAGTTAAAATATGAATGCACTTATGTCACATGTGTGCTATACCTGCTTTTTTATTTAAGGGTATATACATTTGGCTTAGAAGTTTTACATACTAGTATAGTTAGATCTTTATTTTTGATAGTTTCTCCTTATTTCATTGTGTAATTTTTCAAAATAAAGCACTTGTGCAGGGTGTGGTGGTACATACATCTGCAATCCCAAGTGACTCAGGAGACTAAGTTAGGAAGATCACAAGTTGGAATCCAGACTCAGCAACTTAGAGAGACCCTGTGTCCAAAAAACAAACAAACAAACAAACAAACAAAAAAAAAAACTGGAGAGGAGCTCAATCCATAGTACCAAAGGAGGAAAAATAACACATTTGTCTAGAATCTGTTATTTGGAGATTATTGTTCAGCTGGTACTTGGGAGATCTAGGAATGATCACAGCCTGCCCTTGGTATCAGTGAGCTGGCTGTTGGGGGATATGAGACTGGAGGAGAGGGGCATGCACAAATAGCTGCAACCCAGGGGAAAATATAAAAATGTCCCTAAGTATATGCCTGAAGTTCAAAAATAGGAAAAGTCACTGTTAACTAAGAAAATCAGAGCTTCACTGAGGAGATACTTGAATTTAACCTGGAGGAAACTTGACAGGTAAAGAGAAGAGCATGAACTAGGACATAGAGATGGAAACACATGGTATAGGTTCCTCTGATGGCCAGATCACAGTCCAGAAGCAGGAAGAGGTTTTGGTCCAGTTGATAAACATTTGTATGTCAGACACAAGCAATGAGGATATAGAAAAGAGAAACGTGAGGTTCTGTTTCTAAAAGGCTTTCAGTTTAATAGGCTAAAAGACCAGTTGAGAAAAGTAAATAAGTGCTAGATTACAAAAGCTTTTAATTGGCATATCAAGGAGTCAGAATTTTATTCACTGGGCAGTTTGGAGTCATGGTAGGTTTTTGGTGGGCAACCGACATGACAAACTAAATAGTAAAAATGTACAGAATGTCTCAAGTAGGAGAGGTTGGGAATGAGGTTTATTCCTCTTTTAAATAAAAGTATTTTTTAAAATCTCAATTTAAAGATGTTTGATGGTTTGGGGATGTGATTCAATAGTAGAGTATTTAACCTAGCATGGGGGAGACCCTGGGTTCAATGATCCCTAAGGGATGGTTGGAAGAAGGCATCTAATGGTAGGCAATCCAGGGGCTGATGTGGTGGCTCTTCAGTTTTAGACATAGCCTTCATCCTTATGATCACCTCATGGTCTAATATAGCTACCAGAGCATAATTAATCTTATCTATCTTCCAGGTAGCAGAAGGAAGGAAGGCAAGACCTTGTGGGGAGGGAGAGGAACACAATGATACATTTCCTAGCTAACTCCCTTTGAAGAACTTTCGTGGAAGTCCAAGACAATACTTACTTTCTTTTCTTTTTCTTTTTTTGGTACTGGGCCAAGACAATACTTTCAACACTTCTGTTTCTTATTAGACATGAACTAGGTGACCAATAAGTCCTCTAGGGTTTTTTTTTTTGTTGTTGTTGGTTGGTTGGTTGGTTGTTTGTTTTTGCAGTGCAGGGGTTTGAGTTCAGGGGCACTAAGCTACATCTCTAGCACTTTATTTTTTTGGTAAGAGGGATTGAACTCAGATGCACTAAACCACCAAGCCACATCCCCAGCCCTTTTTTGTATTTTATTTAGAGACAGGGTCTCCCTGAGTTCCTTAACACTTCACTTTTGCTGAAGCTGGCTTTGAACTTGCAATCCTGCCTCAGCCTCCTAGGCCACTGGGATTATAGGCGTGTGCCTCCTTGCCTGGCCTCTTTTTATTTTTTGAGACAGGGACTTGCTACTAAGTCGTCTAGGCTGGCTTTGAATTTGTGATCCTCTTGCTTCAACCTCCCTAGTACCTGGGATTATAGGTATGCCCCACTATGTCTGTGACCATATGCAGCTTTAAGGGAGACATAGAAATATAGTTTTATGGGGATATATTCAGTATTTAGAATTTTGCGATATAATTTGCATAAAGTGAGATTCCCAGATTGTAAACATAGAGTTTAAGATTTGACAAGTGCTTGCATCCAACTCATGTCCCTCTCACGTATGGAGCATTCATCACTCCAGAAATTCCCTCCTGCTGGTGTGTGTGTGTGTGTTTTCTTTAACAATCCCATAGAGTGGCTGGGGCTGGGGGGGGGGGGTGCGCAGAAAAAATGAGGTCTTAATGGGAATGAAAAAGAGAGCTGGAGAGACTGGAGGGAGAAGCCAAAGGAGACTGGTTGAATGTAGACGAAGAATAATCAGAGAATGCTGAGCCCCCAGCAAAAAGAGGAGATTGGGAGAATAAGACCAGGTTGTTGCAGGTGGGATGGAAGGAGGAAGAATGAGTACTTGTTGGGTGTGTTGAGTCTGAAGTGCTGGCAAAACATCCAGGTGGAGATGCCTATTAGGTAGTTGTGTCTAGGGCTTGCAAGGGCAAATCAAGCTCAGTTGCACCAAATACCAGAGAGATGATGCTAAAGACAACAGGCCAAGAAATGGCCCCAGAGTTTGGTAAATGTGAGCTCCCTGATAGCCTTTGAGTGAGCAGAATCCAGGTGCCAAAGGCTGAATAAATTATGCAAATAGTACTGGTAGGATCGGCTGAAATCATTTGAAACCCTCTTTAAAGACTGAAATTCTTGCATAAACAAAAGGTTTGTATGTGCTGCTCTTTTAAAAAGGTTGTTAATGAAAGCAGAAAAAGGTAATGCCAGAGGAAAAGATCAGGAATTCATCCCATTCTTACAGGAAAATAGTTCCTTGTGCTTTCCAGTTAGCTTTCCAAGAGCAAAAGGATAGGACAGTGCTCTGCTCCAGAGAGTGGAGCTGAAGGTATAGAGATGGGGGAGGGATGCCACCTTTGACAACTGTTGGTGTGGCAGCAATTCCTCCTGTGGGACAGAACGGCTAACGGACAGATGGGTCAGAATGCGAAATCCCTATCTCAGAGAGTAGGGAGGGCTCCCTGCGGCCTCCTCCCTCCAGGAGGTGGGGACAAGGTGGAGCAAGGATTGCGAGAGGAGGAGCTCGCTCATCACCACAAGCCCGGTCGCGTCCAGTCTCGCCTGGGCGCGGAGGAAAAGATCTCCTAATCGCCGCCACTGGAGTAGCCTGTCCTGGTGCCCCAGTGCTCTGCCCCCATCCAGTCATGACCCTGCGCCCCTTATTCCTGCCCCTCCATCTCCTGCTGCTGCTGCTGCTGCTGCTCAGTGGGACGGTGTGCCGGGCTGAGGCTGGGTTCGAAACCGAAAGTCCCATCCGGACCCTTCAAGTGGAGACTTTGGTGAGGAGATGGGCCAGAACCTGTGGGGGAACTCCAGGATCTAAACAAACCTGGGAGTGGGGAAGAGAGGAAGTGCGGGAACTGAGTTGGATGGTGCTGGGTCTAGGGGAGAGAACTAGATCTTTGGAGGAGCTTCCGTGACCCTTGTAGTCCAATCATAGGTGGAGCCCCCCGAACCGTGTGCGGAACCCGCTGCTTTTGGAGACACGCTCCACATACATTACACGGTGAGGGGCACAAGGGGTTGGGGCGGGGCCTAGGAGGGGCGGGGCATTACTGAAACACGTCAGCTTTGGCTTGGACACGTGGCAAGCGGTTTGGAAGGAAAAATTCAGGCTCTGGGGTCGTAGAGCACGTGGCGGGGGGGAGGGGCGCCCCTCTTTCCTGCCTATTTCCCCTTGGTGCTTTTCCTCCAATTCCTCCTTGGCACTGAGAAACGTAGGGTGGAGAGGTCTCTAGTAAGTGCCAGCCCTTTGGGACTTCCTGTTCCTTTTTGCCCTGGAGGGATAAACTGCAGCAGTAAGGGGGTTGCCGCCACCTTGCGGTCCAGGTGTGTGTGTTGCCCGCCTCCTTAGGAAGCACTAGGTATGTGCTCTTGACGCTCTCTCCCAACCAGGGTACCTTGATAGATGGACGCATTATTGACACCTCTCTGACCAGAGATCCTCTGGTTATAGAACTTGGCCAAAAGCAGGTGATTCCAGGTATGTGACCTGTGCCTCTCATTTCACCTCTTCCCAACCTATGCCCTTACTTGGCTCTTCAACCCCTAAGTTGCCCAGGAAAGGCCTCTTGGAATAAGACCCCAGGGCTCTTCCAGTTACTTCGTAAGATTTAAGCCCCACTTCTAATACTTCTCTTGCCCCATACCCCATTGGAAACCAGAAATTTGATAAGTGGGGAAGACTCAATTGAGAGTTAAGTGTGAATCTCTGATCTTTCTCTTGGGTGACTTGGTAAATGTGAGTAGCTTCCAGTAAGTTATGTCTTCTTCCTCAAGGTCTGGAGCAGAGCCTTCTAGACATGTGTGTAGGGTGAGTATCTGGGAAGAGGGTATAGGAGGGTGGGTATCCCCTTTCCCTGGGTAGAGGTTTTCTCTGCCATCCTGCTCCTGCAGGAGTCAGTAGAATGTGGGATAAAGGACTGTGGCTTCACATTGGACAGGTCCACGTCAGTAGGCCTTCTGAGGGCATCTAAAACCGGTGCCCCTCTGGTTTTGTTGAAGGAGTTGGGGGGTTGTGGGGAGATGGACACTTTTGCTATTAGGCACGCAGGTGGGAAAGTTCATGTTTTGGGCATAAATATACAAAGGGTTTTGCTGACTGAAGGTACTGGCCCACCTTCCCACCTCTGGCTGTGACTTACATTCCTTCCCTCAGAGAGAAGCGAAGGGCCATCATCCCTTCTCACTTGGCCTATGGAAAACGGGGATTTCCACCATCTGTCCCAGGTAATCTGACTAGGTCTTTCTTTCAGGCCATCAAAAAACCAGTCCCTACAAGGAATAATAATAATAATTATTATTATTATTATTATTTTTGGTCTGGAGCTTGAGAAGGTCCAGATCAGGTTTGCTGAAAGGGATAGGAGTGGCTGGGGCCTCCTTCTGCAGAGCCACTTTTTTTTTTTCTGCTCAGGTCACCAATGGAGACTACAAACATCACCTGTTAAGGCCACCTCTGGCAGCTGGCATATTTTTAGGGAAGAGATACCTGCTTGACCTACATGGGTCTGCTGCTTGTATTACTACTCTCAGAATAGTCAAGGAACTCAAAAAAAAGCAATCTTTAAAAGCCAAGTCTACCCCATAACTTGGAAAACTCTTATAAATCATTGTTGTATCTATTTTTTTTTAAATTTTAGTTATGTATGGACTTAATGCATTTATTTGTTTTTATGTGGTGCTAGGATTGAACCCAGTGCCTCACATTCAGCTACAACTGAGTTGAAGCTCCCATTGAGCCACAACTACACCCCTATTATATCTGTTTTTAAAGGGCTGATACTGGACAGATTTCCCAAGACACATATCTTTTGCTTTTGGTTATAACAAATGTTCTATTAGCTAAAATGTGTTTTATTTCACAGAGCATTGAGAACATAATTCCTATCCTAGTCCCAGCTAGAGGAAGGTCTGGAAAGAGGGTAGGGGGACTAGAGAGAAACTATTTTAGCCAATGTTCTATTACTTCCCAATTCACAGTACTGCTTATTTGCTTCTTTGTATATCTCTCCCTTCCCATTCACTCATCTTCCACCTGCCCCTATTTGTTTGTTTATGGTACTGGGGACTGAATCCAGGGCCACTCTATCACTGGGCTATACCCATACCCCCAGCCTTTTTTATTTTTTGAGACAGGGTCTCATTAAGTTGCCCAGGCTGGCCCTAACTTGTGATCCTCCTGCCTCAGCTTCTTGTGTACAGGTGTGCACTACCACACCCAGCTAAACTATTGTTTTTC